CGGGGCGGCACAGCCGCGCTGCAATGTGACGCGACAGCGGTGACGGCGAATCAGCTGATTTCCATGGAATTCGGCTGCGAATTCCCACTTTTTCAACTCTTCGAGCTTCGAAAGTGGAAGGTGAGTTATTTTGAGCAATTTTAAATTGTACTGACTCTGAATGAATCTGAAAGAATGCAAGCCATTCGAATAAATGCCTAAAACAAGGCAATACAAGGGAAAGAGCATATAATCGACATAAAAATAAAAGAAACCAGAGCCAGTACAATTCAAAACTGTTCAGAATAACTCATCTCTACTCTTGAAAAGCGAGAGTGAAAAAGTAGAAATTTGCAGCCGAATTCCATCAAAATCAGCTGATTCACCGTCATCGAGCCGCCGCCGCTGTCGCGCTGCTATGCCGGCCCGACAGTCCGTAATGGTGAGAATGAACCTCGTCATCCGGGCAGTTGATTAGGGCGGTCGCCAACGGGCCGCAGCGCGTGCCAGGAACTATTTGCTTTTGCAGGCTGATTTCGTCTACTTGCGCACCCTTGTGAAGATAAGGAGCTGCTAATCTGGGAAAAAGTAGCCAAAACAGTGAAAAGTTGGAAAAAATGACTAAATTAGCCTGGAAAAAGCAAATAGTTCCTGGCACGCGCTGCGGCCCGTTGACGACCGCCCTAATCAACTGCCCGGATGACGAGGGTATGTGCGTACATACGCTATCACACAATCTGCACCAAAAATGGTGGATTCAGCGATAAAAAGAATTCACCCTGAGTTCAATCTTAAACGTTGCGTCTAAAGGAGTGTTTACTAGCTCTTCGATAAGAGCATAAAACCCATGGTAACTCTTACAAAAAAATCTGCTCTTTAAATTTTCTATTTAGAACACTATGGAAGATCAGCTGTCACTGGCTTCCATTCATTACATGCGCATGCACTATATGGAAGCAATTGAGATCTATAAAACTATTTTACAGGAGCATACGTGAGTTTGCCATCCTATGTTCTTCGTTCTGCATTCTTCCTACTGTAGCGCAGCACCCTTATGAGCTGTAAGGTAGAGATTCGTTGTTAGAGGATGGTTGTCACAAATATGGAAAACATCGTGATGATAGTTGAAATTGCAGCTACAACCGAGACTTGGAGCAAGCTAAAAGGCAACTTATTAACAACTGGACCAGGATTAATTTAGTCTGCGCATTAGATTTTGTATTACAGCTAAAATGTATTAGGTGAATGTACGAAATTTGAAACTACTCATATACCCGTGCAGCACCGCGGCCGCTATCAGTCCCTTCGCTTCATATTTTACTTAGCAAATGAAGCAATACGAGCATCAGGTACGGTCGTCCATTTGTGGGCGGGCGCGCGCGATGGGCGCGTACATATGTATCAGTATCAGTATGTTACAGCTTGATAGGGCCTTACCTTCCTTGAAAAAGGCCCTACGCTGCGTCTGCTCAGGGGCGTGGAATTTACGGAGTAAATGTCGCGAGAGGCCGTTATGACGTTTAATGCCAGTCCAATCAAATATCAAGCGCTCTACAGCATCCTCACGTTGTATATTTAGTATGCGTTGACCTGTAGCCCAACAAATACATTTTATTTGTAAGAAATACGATTCTTGTTATTTGTTCCAAAATTTTTCACTATGCATGCACTCAGAATCCGCGAGATGTGGTAGGCGTGGCTGCGTACTTGAACTGAACGTTACGGCGGCTAGGCTTTCGTGAGATATTTTCATTTTGGGACAGTTGTAATCATGTCTCTGTCAACACAGGACAAGATGATGTTATCTCAAACTAAAATATCCTATGGATTACCCATCCCATGCCATATTCATATGCCACACCTACTTCATCTTAGAGATAAGCACTGTACGTATGTGCATACATAGTCTTTGGCAATGTGTATAAACCTCAAGCAGAAGTTTATTACAGGAATCTGATCGCCCTCAATGTCTACATGGCGATGTGCTACTATAAAATGGATTACTTCGACGTGGCTCAGGTAGTAGTTTCGGGATTTACCCGCAGTTCCCAATGTTCCCCTATTCCATCACAACCTGATGAATTCGACATTAAAGAGAAACCCAGTGATTGTATACTGTGGATAGTAGCGCTCATTTATAAACCTCTAGTCGCTCAACAACTATCCAGGGAACAAAAAAGAAAAAAAACGTGAAGAATACTTTAAGTAAAAACCCGGTAGCCTTACTGGACGAGTTCCGAGCCTGCTCGTTTCATGCCAGCAAAGCGGTATCCTGCCACCTCTCAGCGTCATTCAATGTTAATACTATGTAACAACTAAAAAAAGCGGAAAAGGTGCTGTGAAGCTGAACTTGTGACAGCAAATAGCCTTTGAGTGTTGGTGGGCGGGGCAGCTAGGGAGGCGTCAGAGATGTCACTTATGAGGGCTACAGCGCCTAGGTCATTCACCGGGGGCCGCAATAGTGGGATAGTCTTAGAGACCGCGGGCTAGAATACTTGAACAGGAAGGACGCCCACGCATTGCTCGAGCGCG